TGTTCAGAGACTGCAAACTATGGTTTTAATTAAAATAGAATATATCAAAATTGAATCATCCGCTGTAAAAATTAGAATCCCAGATTTGACTAAAAAGTCAAGAAAAAATAAATTTCAACCATTACTCCATATACCTTTTTTCAAAGATAATGTGTGTATATGTCCAGCACAAATTTTAATAGACTATTTACAAAGAACGATTGAACTTCGTCAGTCTGTTCAAAACTTATAAATTTTAAAAAACCTCACAATTCAGCATCAACACATACTTTAGCTAGATGGATCAAGGATATTTTGTCAAAATCTGGCATAGATTATTTACCGCTCATAGTACTAGACATGCCTCAACATCTTTAGCAAATCGCAGTGGTATTAATATTGACCATATCAGAAAAACTGCCGGTTGGATTAATAGATCTAGCACGTTTGCAAAATTTTATAATAAGCCTATAATTGATCAAAATTATTTTAGTAATTGTATACTAGCTAGTATAAATAAGTAAAATGTTACTTTAAACCTTAGTTTTATCAACACTGATTTTTTGTTTTGTCTGTTATATTTCATTAAATAATTAAACAAATTACCGCAATCTCATTCTTTAAACATCTACATAGTAAACACAGACGAGGCATTAACGAATATAATTAAGTGATCAAAGTAACCTTACCTGTAAGTGAACTTCGATCATAATTATATGAAGTTAACGCCTCGTCTGTGTACAACCCTTCCCTATATAATGTGAATATATAGCCCCACCCATTAATTGCTATGTTTAATTATTTTGTTTTTATTCTTTGAACTCAATGACTAGAGATAGTACTGCCAGCTATGGTATGCTCAAGAAACTTTTTTGTTTTATGTGCTTTAAACACTCGTGAATTGGCCACGTCAAGACGCGACTACATAGTAAACACAGACGAGGCGTTAACTTCATATAATTATGATCGAAGTTCACTTACAGGTAAGTTACTTTGATCACTTGATTCTCGATTCTGCACCGATTGTATTTATAATCAATATTTGGGAGTCCAATATGGTCTATGAACGGTAGCGAAGCCTCCATAGAAGCCGAGAAGTCGGGCTTGCCCTATCAAACTGCTCAATCAATAATATCAACTAATAAAATAACTCGAAAACTGTTTCAAACTATTTCAAATTTCCCGCCCGCTCCTGTGTTCGACACAGCTCATGACCTCGTAACCTTATTATGTAACGTCAACACTTGGCAGATTGCTTTCAATTCAAATTACACTGATTCATGTTCTCTCTGTCTCAAAGCGAACACGCAACGGACTGTCAAAATTAATGAAGGCAAAGCAATATGGATGGACCCCAGTCGCGGCAAAACTGCGCGATACTGCTGTCATAAAAAAGGAGTCGAGTTGAGCGATTAGTCCTCTCTCGCACGCGTGACCTTTTTACCGGGCTTTCGAGAAGACGATCGCTCCCTTTCTAACCTGTGGCAAAATGCTCTATAATGAAATATAACTACGATTGTTTATATAGCAATTAATATGGAGCGATAAGCTGTGCTTTCAGTCTAAGTTATTCGAGCGCGGGGGCGCGCGGGCGATACGTTTACAAGTTCACTTCACATTTCAATGTTTTCTCTGTGTGTTTACTTGAGCGAATGAATATTGCGAGTTGAAAATTTATGCTGTTTTTTCTAGATTTTTTGTGAAAATGGAAGATAATAGTGTTCCTTTTGATGAATTGAAGTATGTTAAGTGCTAATCGGCGAGGAAAAGGTAAAATATTTAAGCTTTGTTGAGAAGAAACAGCTCACATCCACGCCAGTTATCCGAGGAAATTACAAAACACAATATGCGTGTTGATGACAACCGTAGTGTTTTGCAAAGATCAGTAGATATTGTTTGCCATTTAGCACAACAAGAACTTCCTTTTAGAGGTGACGATGAGTCGAAACGTCATTAAATGGAGGCAATTTTTTAGAACTTGTATCGCTTCTTTCGAAGTACGAACTCGTGTTAGAAAAGCATATGCAGCATCAACAAAGCGACAAAGTGCCGAGTTATTTATCTAGTACAATCCAAAATGACATTATTCATTCTGTCGCTGGTGTAATGAAAACTCGCATCAATTGCGAAAGAAAATTGACAAAGTTCGTTTCGATTATTATTGAATAAACTCCCATGTTAGTCACAGAGAGCAATTGTGTCTGATTCGCCGATATTATTATGTAAACGATATTCATAACCGTTTTTGGGGTATCTAGATGTGTCTGCAAGTCGCAGAGCAGACACACTTTGTAATATCATATTGGAATTATTAAACAAACACGATGACTGCACCACAAAACTAGTTGCGCAAAGCTATGACGGTGCAAGTGTCATGTCCGGTATCACAAATGGAGTGCAACAAAAAGTTAAACATGTTTGTCCCCAAGCCATGTATATTTGGTGTAAATGCACACATTTTGGCATTACTTTTATCTAAATCTTGTAACAGGATTGCGGAAGTCAGCACTTTTTTTCAGCCCTTCAGGCTTTATTTAATATTTTTAATAACAACACAAAACGGTCGTCTTTTTATGATGCATATTGCAGCAAAAAAAATGCCTAATGCCCCCGCAACTCGTTGGACGTATATGTCAGGAGTTGTGAATACAGTATTCGAACAAAAAGATAATCTGATTAATTTGTTTTCGAATATGTGCGACTATCCGCAGAACTGGGACGGCGATACGGTCTTGGCCACCGAGAATTTTGATAACACATTGCATTCATTTAATTTCAATTTTTTTCTTTCAATTTTCCACCGGGTATTTGAAAAAACCGACAGCTGGTACAATATTTTACAAAAATCACAAGTTCATGTCGGTTATTTCAGTAATAAAATAAAGGAGTTTCAGACATGGTTACGTACTGAATTTCAGTCAGATTTTTATCAAATTTATGAAAACATATTGCAAAATAACTCTGCGCCTCATTTGAGACGCAATGTGCATTGTGCTCACACAGAAAACAAATGACTTTTTGTTAAAATAATTGATAACATATCTTCAGAAATTGACGGCCGATATTCCGAAATGTTCAAATTAAAAAATTTCCAATTGTTCTACAACAAACTATTCGAAAAATATCGTTCAGATTTTCCTTTAGAGGCATTCCATTAGTATCATTATTTAAAAATTATGCAAACCATTTTAATAAACAAACATTGAAAATCAATTGATTTCATTGTATTCCTCCTCTGAATTAAAAGACCGCAATGTTTTCGAACTCATTGACTTTATAAACGAAAATAGTCTTGAAGAGGCCTTTCCCCAGTTTTTAAAGTTAGCTTATCTTGTCGTAACTATTCCAGCCGCAAGTTCCTCCGCAGAACGTGCTTTCTCATCTCTGAAGCGCATCCATACTTATTTGAGAAATACACAAGGTCAAGAGTCTTTTAGACTTATCAATTATCGCAATTGAAAAATAGTTATTGGTACAATTAAACTGTTTACCGATTTGGTGCAGTTAGAAAATAATGTTAAATCTAAATAAAAGTTACCCGACATTGTTCCCAAGACAAGGTTTTTAAACGTATCTCTAAAGAGAATTATATGCTATGTTGAAAAAAACTGCTATACAGGGTAAGTAATAAAAATATTTTACTATACAACGGATTAAAAACCAATGGCTGCATTATAGAATCCATAACATACAAAGAACAGCTACTAAGACTATAAGACCATCGAAATATCGTTTAAACTTAAAAATTGTCGCAATTTTAGGACCCATTAAAACAAAATTTAAAATATAATTTTAGACATTAGTTTTAGCCTGTACCATTATTTTCAGTTTGACTAATGAGCACTGTGCACCAATGTGCCTTCATATCCATTAATTTAAAATACTTTTACATTCTAACGTAGAAAATCGATATTTAGTTACCGAATTTAGTGTTTGGTCTTTATATTATTTTGTTATTTTGCTGGCGCGGCAATTTTTTGATAGAAAACATAAACAAGTTTTCCGTAAATCTAATTTTGCACTTTCATTTCACCCATTATCACCGTTAAAACTCATCTCCAATTCTAGTATAATATTAATGTTATATTTTTTTACTCTGACATAAATTTTCGCCATCATTCATAAAGTATATAAATACAATCTAGTCATCAAAAAAGTTCTTTTTGTTTCAAATTCATTTGTTAACCCGTTCAAAACCCAATATAGAACGCTTATATTTAAAAGTTACTTATAAGACAATATCTGTAGTGTAAGGCCTTATGCCCAGAAGACGGTTTTTCGCCGGAACTAAGCCCGGCGTCAAACCGAGTCTACGTCCTCTCGTCAGTATTGTACGGGACACTATGAAGCCAATCACAAACGCCGCGCTAGCGCCGGCTCACCACGCAGCCGGGCACCATGCTCGCCTCCATGAAACCGGGTCGTATATAAATTGTCTTGCGTGCAAGCTCGGACGGTTTCGAACCCGCGCCAGCAAAAAACTGGGTCCTGTTAAAACCGACTCGTGGGCAGGAGCTCTAATAATTTACTTACACACCAAATAACAGCTGTAATACAGCTATTATACATCCATGCTTGTACATCAAGTATACAGCGCTACTAACGTATAAAGCTATACAATTTGTACCAATTTTTACTTATAAGAACTGTATAAGCGCTTATACAACCTTTATACAGCCAAAAAATACAGTCTAGTATAAAAACGAACTTCAATACAGCTCGTATACAGCTTGGGTGCTACTTGGGATACTTCAATATTATGTTATTATTTTAGAATGTGAATATAATCACTGTGAGATTCACACGCTACTTGTAGTTGTAGCGTTGTGACATGTACTACTACAATTGTTCAAGTCTAGATGTTTGACCATGTACTATGACTCCACAACACAGGAACAATTCATTGTAGTAATAACATTATTAAAAAAATCTTTAGTAATATATTGTTTTTTATATGTTATTGCATGAGTAAAAGTAAATTTATACTAAAAATATAAATACAATTGAAAGAATTATATTACCTCTCCAACGTATCCACAGTGCCAATGTGCTCAGCGAATTGGTCCCAGAAGATCGTGTCGTTTTGTGGTAAAAGCATTTTGCGAAGATCAAGCCATTTGGTCCCGTGACGTTTCAGAACTGCACACAACCCACCCCAATCACTCACCTAAAATTATAATCATCACTTTTCTATACTAACTAACTTAAGGTCTAGCTGACGAGTTAAATGGCTACTAGAACCCATGGACACCTGCAGTCTACTTCAAACAAAGAAGTTGAGAACTAAGATAGAATGCCTCACAAAACCTGTAATTATACTGGCGGCAGAAATAGATAAGATGGACCCCTAGGTAAAACAGGGGTCATACTACCTTGTATAAAGTATTATAAGCTAACATTTACATTTTTAAGGTTAACAGCTCACCAACATGTAAGATTTTAATAACATTACAACAACAAATAAGCTAAAAGTCAATTCAAAGTAAATAGCTACAATAGCATTAAATTTTAATTGCTTAATGAAGAATGATAAATGCAAGTCTTGATGGATTTTAATATTTGGTAAATTGTTATATACCTTAGTTGTGAAAGTAGTTGTGTAAATTAAAAAGTACTCTAGTAACAATTATGAATTAGATATATAAGGATATTTAGTATTGTACATGTTAGATGATTGTTTTTAGATGATTGTTTTCTTTTTATTTAAGTACAGACTTGTTACCCTGCTTGTTATGCAGACGATACCAATTACGACCTGCTTCATAATATAAATATTATGTATGTTCTTAGTGAGACAGTTTGTAGGAAACAATTGTAATTACCATTGTCTTATTTTACTTGTATGTTTTTCTTTCATATCTTTTGTTTCTGTTTTGTCTCCAATAAGGTAAATAAATAAATAAATAAGTGACATAGACATAGGGTTGTATACTTTTTTACGCCGTCGGCAATTTTTTTATTATTGTTCTAACCATTGATCTTGTTAGGTCAGTTTGGATGTAAAAAAAAATTTAAACATTACATGCAAGTCCACGTGCAATTAATGTGTGGTAAAGATAAACAAAAAAAAAGCGTCACTAACATGTGAATTTTTCATCCGTACATGTCTCCAGAGAGCTGGCGTAGAGGCGAGCTGCTGCCACAGCTTGCAAACTCTCGCGCAATGCGCCAAATCCCTCATACCTAGATACTGGAATATCTGTAAATAAAAAATTACTATGAGGAATGTAGTGGTCGTATATATTAAGAACCTTTCTTGTTGTTAGTTGTCGGTAATTTTCAAATTATGTGACACAAATTCAAATTATGTGACGTAGCATATTATTTTTACTGTAAATTAAAAATATACTTTTTTAAATGTTATATTCGTCAATTTTTTTTAATTTTGTTATTATTTTATTAATTCGTTGTTGACGCCGCAAAGGGGCGAACCTCAATTTTTCAAAAAATTATAGGAGCAAGAAAACACTTATTATGCTGCTGGAAGAAATTTCATCACGGAATAAGCAGTGCTTTTGTACATAATTATGTTTTTACCATTTCTCTATCGAAGTATGTGTATATAAACTGTTAAAAAAATTATTCCCCGATTATTAGCTTTTTTTTCCATCAGAAAATTAATCTTATTCGTAGTTTTCCATTAAGTGTAATATATTTAATTTTCGGATGAAAAAAAGATAGTAATCGGGGAATAATAAAGGTTTTTTTTTGCACACCCATAATTTTTTGAAAATTTGAGGTGCGCGTCTTTGCTGCGTCAACGACGAATTGATGTGTCTAGAAATGTTAAAATTTAAGTATGTAATGATGTTTGTAGCGTGTTGCAATAAATGTTTGTATGTTTGTGGATAATTTACGAATGATATTGTCAAGTACAGACAGTATAGTTAGTTCGATACCCCCACCCGTACCTGCACGGCGACGTTGTAGTTGTTCTGGTTCGCGCGCGTGCAGAAGGAGGTGAAGTGGTCGAGTTCCTCGGCGCGCGCGCGGCCGCGGCGGCGCGGCGACGCAGCGGGCGCGGTGGGCGAGGCCGCGCCGTTAGCCACCCGGCTGCGTGTCATCTTTTCGCTGCGCAATCAACAATATGTCTTTTATTTTTAATTCTGAATACATTACTATCAATAGCCTTTTTTTTCTTTACCAATATAATCTATTGAATAAAGGGCGTCTCCCCTATCAATGGATTTGTCGAAATTGGGGGAATGAAGACTTAAAGACGCTGCTCCGTGTCGCCAGTCTGAGTGTTTATATATGAAATATACGCAGTCTATACCGTCGTGTGTCGAAGCCCATGAGATTTATGTGGAATTTCCCATCATCTCCATTTACACTCGAGAGATGAAATCGTAATTGAATAGGAAATGCCAAAACTCATTTTCTTCTAATTTTATTTAAACCAAATGTAAAGATGTCTAACGCTACAGGTGCATAATGTCAAGAACAGAAATCACCATTCATTCGTTTTAATATTATGCAACAAACACACCAAGAAAAACATTTATGACAAATAAATTTGATTCATCAGTGTCTTAGGTGAATTAATTATTAAAATTTGTAAGATTTCAAATTGACAAAAGAAAAGTTATACAACATTTAATGTTTAATAATCAATTGTTGCACTTGGTAATTTGTATATTGATACGAACGATTCATAAGAATGAATGAATTGCAACCGAAACATCTACTGATGAACATATATTTGTCATATTTGCCACACCTCGGATGTGACTTGTAAGCCGATTTTTTATTATTTTAAACTAGCTGTTCTCCGCGACTTTGCCCGCGTGTAATAATTTATTACGATTAAATTTCTTGATTTTTTTACGCGAATCCCTAATCATTTTTCTAAAATAAAAGTAACCTAAGTTACTCCTAATAACATCAACTACCAGTAAAAGTCCCATCAAAATCGGTCTAGTCATTTCGGAGATTAGTCAGAACAAACAGACAGACAAAAACTAAAAAAAAAAATTTGTTATAAATATAGTATATATCCTCATATACATTTAATAAAAAACTATTATTTTAACATTACAAACAGACACTACAATTTTATTTATTTCTATAGATATAGATAGTTTTCAGGAAGATGATGCTACCCTCTGGACACCTTTGACGACCATTCTGATTGTCTTATGCCGCCACTCCACTACAGGGCGATACTAGCTATACTATTATTAACTAAAATAGGATTTTGCTCTCTTAAATCACTCAAACTAGACTTAAATGACCCATGCTATCTGACAACACTATTTTCTTTTAGACAACTACTCTAAAATTAAACCTAAATGTAACTTACAGAACCACCGCATATAGTATGCACCAACAATTCTAACAATAGGTTTTATGATCTGCACTCACGGTAAGAAAAATTATTTTTTTAGCCAATGTGCAACCAACATGACAATAATCAGCAACAATTGCTATAAAATTGATAGGCATACTAACTAACCTATATATACTTTTATTAAGATTTTTTTAAAATTAAAAGTATATTAAATATAACGTTACGAAATTTCTGGATATTATTTGAGTAAAATAAATCACATTAGATTTTCAACAGTTTTGTATTGTATAGAATTTTATACAGTATTGCATTTCTTACAATATATATATGATACAAATTAACTTAGGCAAAAATTTTAGGTATATTAAGCTAACTACATATTTTGGAAATTATTTATCTTGGCCATAACTTTAAAAGAATCGTCAAATAAAATGTCGAATGCAGCTGCAGTCGTCACACAATGGGCAAATGGTAAAACGGCGAAAACAAAAGAAAAACACACTAGTACAGTCTTGGTGTGAAAAATAGCTTAATACTGCTTTGTATCGAATGGTAAGTGATAAGAACGTTGGTCTTTCGTTCTCATCATTGACCTTTTAATGATAACAAGGCATACCATCTCAGTCCTTATAGGTGTACAACGCATCTGCATTTTGATTCTTATAGATATAGGCGTTTATGGGCCACAATGTCGACTTACCAACAAGTGGACCGTGTTTGTCACCTTAACTTCTACAAAAAAAGTCACAACAGTCGGGTTCTTTGTTCTTTATTATTAAAATTATTTTAGTTGCCAGCAAACAAAAATTGTCCAGAAAAATATTTTCGTAAAGGCAACATTAATATAGCTTCGTTATATTAGAATATGCAAGTAAAATAATGTACACCAAGTATTGTTAATTAACAAAAAGATAAAATTGTATCCCAATTTAAAGATAAACTTATCACTTTAAAAAAACCGAAGTCTAAATAAATGTTTATATACAGGGTGCTATTTGACCACAAATACATAATATTCTGTATGTTATCTAAAAATAATTCTAATATATAATTTAAATTATAAATGCCACATTTTGAAATTTGGGAGTGATAGTAAAGTTAAATTTTTCAAGATTATATAATTTTCAGAGTTAAAACATCTGTCTTTCTTTTAGCATGAAAAAAGTCCGAATAAATATAATAACTATACTTTAATGTGGCCTCAATTTCTTTTCTAGTACAATCATCGAACACACACTCACAAATACCAAACACAACAGTTATTAATTATCTTATACTAACAAAAAGTGAACACATCTTTCAATATTTGAACTTCATATGGGAGTTATTATAATATAACTTTATGAATATTTGATTCAAGGCTTCCTAGCGTGAGATTGGTTGCAAATCTTCCTGGAGAACATCTGTAAATATATATAATTTAATTTTTGTAATTATAAATTAGGTGATCATAAACTTTTCAAAACAGTAAAGCACAAGCCTTGAAATATGTTATTAGTTGACATACTAGAACTCATGTTCGTCAGCTCGGTATCCATAAAAGGCAACCACACAATACACATATTCTTTTAAATATTTTAGTAAGAAATGTTTCCTGTCGAAACAGTAACTTCAACGCATCAGTGATCACAGATCAGTGTTGATCGGAGTGCACAAGCGAGCGAGGTACGACGATGAAGCGCCTGCCATTGAGTACTGCCAGAGACTGTGGTAGCGTCGGCCTGACGCCTGATGGAGGTCCACAGGCCACTCCGCTTGTGGGCCCGCTGCCCGCTCCGCTCGCGGCCCCAGTCGCTCCGCTTGTTGCCCCGGTCACCCCGCTCGAGGCCCCGGTGGCTCCGCTCATGGCCCCGCCCGCTCCGCTCGTGGCCCCGGCCACTCCGCCGCTAGCGGTGGTCGCTGCTACCGCCCAAACACGAGACCCGTCTGCGCCGCCGCCAGCCACCTGGTAATCATTACGTATCCAAGATTTAAAATAAAATATTCTATATAATAATATTATATATTAAAATAATATAAAATTAATAGACGGATGACGGTATGTAAAAAAAGTAATTGGAATAGTCGCAGTATGGAAAATCTATTTCTCATTGTAACTTTGTAAGCGCTGGCTAAGAATAAAAACCGGCCAAGTGCGTTCAGGGCCACGCACAATGTAGAGGTAGGGTTCCGTAGTTGCTCGTTACAATACGTGAACTTAGAAGGGGCCTTCTTGAAGCTATGAGCATATTAACCTTTCAGATTTCGACATTGTATCAAAGTCAGTACTTCAGACCTGTCAATAATTATTTCCATGGTCTACAGTTATTTTTTGTTTGCGAAAACCAGGTTCGAGAAAAAACCCTCTGTCCTGGTAAGAACCTGCAAGAAACCCAGCGGGACTTTTTTTAAAAAAATAAATTTTACAATATAAATGATTTAAATTTTACAATATAAATGATTACGAACTATTTACAAAATTTATTTTAAAAACTGCTTGGAAGCGACCACCTCATTCTCAGGGATTATTATCAACCATGTATTCATTTATTTAAACTTGGTAATAGAGAGAACCAGTACACTTTCCGGGACCTTGTTGTAATAGCGTATACATTGCCCCAAGAATGAATTACTGACTCTCTGGAGTCGAGAAACTGGCATCACTAGCTTGTGTTTGTTCCTAGTGTTTACAGAATGTATATCACTTTTTTTACTAAACTATCTTTGCTTTTGTGAACATACATTAAATTTTCGTAAATATACTGAGAGGCCAAAGTTAATATATTTATTTCTTTAAATTTATCTCTAAGAGACTCTCTCGGTTTTAGATTGTAAATAGCTCATGTGCAAGTTTTGTAGGATACAATTATCGCGGTATTCGCGTCACGCAGTACTTGTTATAATACCAAGAGAGTATATTTGGTTTGAATTCGTAGGTCTACTGATCGTAAGTATGATTGTTGCTTCTTCGTCGCTAAGGAAAGAATGCCGGTTAAGCTTAAAAATACGTTTTTAAAAGCAGGATCATAAATAATTCATTCATAAATATTTTTTCTTGAAATTTAAATCGAACCACTCTTGAAGAATAACTTTTTTAATAACTAAGAATCATTAGTATGGGTTCAGCCGTTTCCGACATAACGACGAACATACGTAAAAATATACGCGTCACATATAGAACCTTCTTTTTTGAAACTCGGTGGACAAGTTCTTTATTTAATTTATTTACCAAAAAAAATTCAAGATGAAGTTGTTGAAGTAAGGTCTCTAGGCGATCGATTCTCTCTGTCTACCCCGCAACAAATATGTAAAGCTATAGTAGTAATGCATAAGTCGTTTTCTTAGTTAATAATAACTTTACAAAGCAATAATGCATCTAGCTTGAGGTCATTTTCTATGGAATGGTAACGAAATTTTTACTAATCAAAGTTTAGTTTATAAGTTGATCGACTATTACTCGTTAAATTATTAAACCTTAGCTGATAGTTTTTCGTTTAACTTCATTATACAGGTTGTCCCGTAAGTATTGGACCAACGCTGTATGGGGAATAGAGGGAATTAATATCCAAGAAAAACACAAATTTATTGCCTAGGTCTTGTAGTTTTTTTTTTTAAATATTAAGATAAAATCGTTATACAATGTACTCAAAATTTATAATTTTACAAAATCTATTACTATTTTTATGTTATTTTTTGTTCTAGGTAGTTAAGCATGTATTAGGCTTCCTAACCACTTAACATTCCACCCCGCGCGAGTGTTTCTCGCCTCACCTGTCTGCGCATTACACGTCACTATTTTTTT